TCTCTTTTCTTTTCAAATCTTAACTGAACAAACTGAAGAGAGAAGCTGATTGGTTGCTATGCACAGCTGCTCCAGATTTTGATCAACTCCCCTCTAAATGTTTATGCACTTGAACAAAACGAAAAAAAACTGTCCCTCCAATGTACCACCCATGGCACAAGCTTGTTACCCTTAGTTAGGAAAAAACAGTCCTGTACATCTAAATTACAAACCATAATGAGATCTTCCAGCACAGTGCAGACAGGGTTCATTATGGTAAACATTAACTCCCCAGCCCCCTTCTTACAAAGCAGGGAACGCTAACCATGATTTTTCTGAAAGTAAAAATGGAAGCAGCAGTTTTTCATTCTTTGTATTGCTCTGCTGTATGGGAGCATGTAAAGTACAAAAGGAGGGGTTATCCCAATTTGGCTGGAAAAGTGGACATACACTTTAAGATGTCAGAAGCCATAAGAAGATGTCAGAAGCCATAAGCCAATTCAATAAGGCATTTGCGGCAAATCCTGAATGCGTGTATGTAGTTGGAAGCCTTTTTCAAAATACAATAAAACCTATGCGCCATTTTCATTGTTTGAATCGACGTTTGTAACAAATTCATGTAGTTCTTATTTGCAACACTTTTACTGCATGGTGCTATTTTTGCAACAGATTCATAAAGAAATACCGCCATATAGGAGATGAGGAAAGTGGCGGTACAAGAGGATATCCTCTATGTTGCAGCAAATGGTACTTGCTGAGTTCTACCCCCATAGACTTGCATTGAGTTCTAAGTTCGAGTTAGAACTTTTTCCATGTTCGAAAGTTCGAGTTAGAACCGAACACGGGGGTGTTCGGCTCATCACTACTTGCCAGTGTAAAGTATTGGTCATACGGGCTGATCAGAAGGGCGATCTGCGCACGGAACCTCTCCTGATCAAAGCAGTACGGAGCCGAGGTCACTGCGGTGACATCCATATCTGTCCATTTATTTCTCATCTATCCTGCGACGGATGGAAAATACTGAAATTACCGGACCCCATGTCTGTCTATGGGGAATCAGATGTCAATGGACATGTGTCTGTTTACATCAGATTACCATGATGAGGCACGATCAGGTCCGGCGAAACATATCTGATCGGTTCGTTTTTCTGGACCTGGCCGGAGGCGGGGTTAACCAGGCTGCCCGTGCGTTTATACGCGGCTGTCCATACACCTATAGATTATCTGCTAGCTGGCCACACACCTATAGATTATCTGCAGACTTTCTGTGGTCAGATGGAAGAAGTGCAACAGATTCCTCCATCTACGCTAAACTGTGTGGATGGAGAAATCTCCCACTGGGACAAGCTTCAGTATCTTGCCAGTCGGCCCCGCAGGCTCTCAAAATACCAGAACAATCTGACTGGATGCAGGCATTTTGAGAGCCAGCGGGGCCTGTGACTTTATCTAATGCAACAGAAAAAAAAAAAAAAAAAAAAAAAAAAAGTTATACTCGCCCGATTATTCAGGCTGGCTTGTTCCTAGACCGGTCCTTAGAGCCTCTCTCCCCCTCCTCTGCAGCAGTCTAAGAAGTCTTCAGTCATCAAGTGCTATACAAGTGTATAGATGTGAGGATACTAAGGAACATTCCATCTGTGCAGCGTAGGAGGAGACACGCTTCAGTGATCAGCAAAGCAGGTTGTGTAGAACTTTTAGGACCTAGAAAAAACAAGCAGTTAACCCTTGCAGTAGGGCTGCAACCAACTAATCGATTATGAGAATAGTTGTCAGCTATTCTCATTATCGATTAGTTTTTTGGATCCGTTAGCTCTCTCCTCCTTGCTGGGAGAAGGGCACAGCAGGTAGTGGGCGGGTGCACAATAGCCAGCCTGCTATTTCAATTTGAAATAGCCAATAGCAGGCTGGCTATCGCACCCGCCCACTACCTGTTGGATTTACATTCAGCTGCCGTCTGCAGAATCTTGCTACTGGCAGCTGTCATTCCCGGGCTGAAGCCATTCAGGCGCCATGTGCTTACAATACAAATAAAAAAAAAAAATTAAATATATTTTTTTTTAAAAAGTGAGAAAAAAGTAATTTTTGATTTCATCCTGACAAATTCTGCTGCGGGAGGTGCGTTGCAGTGCCATTCAATTCAATGTCACCCCAAACACACCTCCCACAGTACCGCAATGCCATGCGTTCCAGTGTGGAGCAATTGCAAAACAATTGTGTATGCAGTTTAATTCTGAAGTAAACTTTATGTTGGTAACATTTGTGTATTTTATTTTACATTTAGGATGGTATTTACATTTTCTATCCGATCAAAAAAATCAATCGGCCAACTTATCGATTATGAAAATAATCATTTGTTGCAGCCCTACCTAGCAGTGCATGGATAGCCCCACTGCAAGGGTTAATACATTTCCCCCCCAGAGTTCCTTTGGAACAGATACAGTGGTACCTCGCTTCACAAACTTAATTCGTTCCACAATTCTGGTCGCGAACCGAATCAAATTTCACCAGAAGATCCAATGTAAATAAGGTTAATCCGTTCTGAACCATATGTACATTTTTTCTTTTTTCTGGTCACCTCCAATACCGCTCTGCACATTCTTTTTACCATCATGCTTGCTCTGCACTTTCTTTGGAGCCATGCTGGATTGAATAATACTGTACAGTACTGTATGTGCTAAAAAGCACATAGAAAAGCTTCACAGCAAGTGTGCACAGGTCTGTCTGTGACCGCAATCTCGACTAGAGGAAGCCACGATCACGTCAGAGCAAGGAAGATGACCATGGTCATGTTCGTCACCCGATTTCCGTTCCCGAACGGAAACAAAATTTTGCCGAACTTCCTGGAGTTCGCGAAGTGAGGTATTACTGTACTTGACAGGTTTTCATTACACTCCCAACTGCTGCAAACAGCTTCTCCGCCTGTAAAACTCAGCAGGAGAGATTCTTGCAGCAGTTACGTCGGATTTGTGTCATACACTTTACTGACAAGTACATGAATCTGTCGCAAGGCACACTTGTCACTGGCATGCGTCTACCCCATACACGCCCTGTGAAAAGATATTCCAAAACAAAAATGTATTTTTCTACTGAACCAAATTTATTTGGAAAATAAAATTCATGTTTTATGATGGAACATATAAAATCAATTCATTTCTCAAAACCATAAGTGGTTGATATTTGAATAAGACAAGGAGGGAACAAAAAATAGAATAGAAGATAAAAATTGTAAAACAAAAACGCAACAAAAACACAGACACGTCGTATTACCTCCAGCTCATATCTGTCAAAAATAAACCAAAACAACTGGACTTGCTGTATTTTTCTTGAAGACGTTTCGCTGGTCATCCGACCAGCTTCCTCAATTCAGGACATTTCTGCAAACCAGATGAGCAAAACGTCTTCAAGAAAAATACAGCAAGTCCAGTTATTTTTTTTTACATTTATACCATGAGCTGGATGAATGGGAACCTTCACAGACATACCTCCAGCTGAGCTTTGGCTTTTACAGGGGAAGAAGCAAACTCTTTGTTAAACTGCATCAGGAAACCGTTACAAAAATTCCAATCGAGCAAAATATTGCATTTTTCAAGCTGTCAATAAAGCTGATGTGACTAAAGAGAACCAATCATCTTTCTTAAAGCTGAACTTCAGAGAAATTGTTAAACTACCTTTGTGTTGGGGCTCCCCCGCACTGCATTGGTTAAGTGCTCTTTTTTGTCTGCTGTACCATTAAAAAGTAATTTTACTTCCCTTATCCTTTGTTCCCGCAGGCTTCCTTCTCCCCATGTGACCAGTCCCCAGAAGCTGCCCTCTCTTCAGTGATCCATCCAACGGATGCACTCTGACGCCATTATGTAAAATGCTGAACCAGCAGTCCTGCATTGTAAGCGGGGGTGCTCAGGCTATGCCCACAACAGGGATGTAGGAGGGAAGAAGACAGTGCCGTTGCCAGGGGGACTGAGGGGGTAATACAAATAAAACTGCTTTTTAACCGTACCCTAGAGTGTAAAGGTGTTTTAACTCTAGCAGTGCACAGGCAGTTTTATCATTTCCCTGGAGTTCAGCTTTAATGAACATGCTGCTATCAAACAGCTTTACCAATGGGGAAAAAAAAAGTAAGTAAAACAAACATTAAAATTAGGGATGCACCGATAGCCATACTAGTTTTGGTGCCGATACCGAGTATTTCGGCGAGTACTCGTCCAAATGCTCGGATACTGGAACTTCCGGTCAGAGGGAGATCTGAGGCAGTGCCAATGGAGCATGGAGCTGGCTTCCTTTCCAATCATTGATAGGGTAGGAAGCTGGCTTCCTTTGTTGCTAGGCAGCCTGGCCAATCAAGAAACTGGGAGGTGGATTATGACGTGCCACCCGGCTTTCTAATTGGCTAGGATAGCCAGCTTCACTTGTTCCTCAGCAGCCTGGCTTCCTAACCAATCAGGAAGCTGGGCAGCATTTCCTGATTTGCCTCCTGGTTTCCCAATTGGTGAGGAAGCCAGGCTGCCTAGCAAGGAATGAACCTGGCTTCCTAGCCAATCAGGAAGCCGGGTCATGACAAGCCGCCCAGCTTCCTGATTGGCTAGGAAGCCATCTTCACTTGTTGCTAGGCAGCCTGGCTTCCGGATTGGTCAGGAAGCTGAACGGCACCTCCTGATCCACCTCCCAACAGGTCAGGAAGCCAAGCAGCCTCGGCAAGTGAAGCCGGTGTTCTTTCGATAGTACATCTTCTTCCCAGGAATTCAGGAAGCCAGGCGATGGGTCATGATGCGCCGACTGGCTTCCTGATAATCAGGGCACATGGCACCAGTATCGGTGCATTCCTAATTACAATAAAAGAGACGTAGAATTCATCAGAGTCTGTACACAGAAGAACATAGAGGCTTTTTCCTGCTCATTATTCTTTTAAATGGCCTTCAACACCATGAAGTAATCAGCTCCGTTCCTGCAGAAATCTTCACTAGTCATTGATTACAGGGTCTTAGGTCTGTAAATGATCAGCAGTGCTCCATTGCCAACACCCCAGTTCAAGCATGTTTATTACGGATGACTTCCCCTCCTTCCACTTCGATTTGCTCGTACGCCCACTTGCGATCACACCTGCATTCTACGCCGCACTTATTGGAGCCGCACTTTCTGCAGGAATAGAAGCAGCCCATACAGTCTTCATCCAGGCAATCGCACAGATCCATTCCACTGGCTATCAGGATACCTCTGGCGTCATACACTTTGTTCTTTGACGGGATCGTTTGTCTGCGACAGAAAAGAAGCACACTGGTTAGACGCAAACAAATTCTCTGGTAAATAAAATGGTTAGAAGGAGACAAATGTGGAAAAGCGGGTTTTTAGGCACTTTGAACGACACTTTGCAAGAGTGTTTTTATATAAAAAAAATATAAATTGTATTCAATACATAGTTAAAATAGAACAGAAATGAGTAATAAAAGCCATAGGCGAAAACACCTCTAATCTCCACCAGTACCCTCAGATACGGTTAGCATCATTGGTCAGCCTAAGTGGTACAACTGTATAATTAATTGGTAGGTCTTAGCTGTGATTGACACAGTTCAATTGATAGGCAATCCAAGGCAGTTAGTCAGGTGTGGGATAGGGTGTGTGACAGAAGATAACTACATGGATGTTTGGAACCATCAGGTAAGTCAAGGTGAGTTCGATATCGAGCTCAGCCAGACCTAATCTTAATTGGTTCGGAACAGTGGCTTTGAAAAGTAATCCACCTGATCTTCGGTTGTTAGTTGGATTGCGTCAATTGATGTGTCTCAACCAGTATATCAAAAATGTTTTAACAATTCATAAAAACAGACGTAGTACATAGCAGTACAAATCATGTCCTGAAATATATGGAAATGCTTAGCTTGACCCAGGGAGTTGGAATTGGTGAGAGATAACGCTTCTTCATGTACGCGAAACGCGGGTCAGATCAGGTGGATTACTTTTCAAAGCCACTGTTCTGAACCAATTAGATTAGGTCTGGCTGAGCTCGATATCGAACTCACCTTGACTTACCTGATGGTTCCAAACATCCATGTAGTTATCTTCTGTCACACACCCTATCCCACACCTGACTAACTGCCTTGGATTGCCTATCAATTGAACTGTGTCAATCACAGCTAAGACCTACCAATTAATTATACAGTTGTACCACTTAGGCTGACCAATGATGCTAACCGTATCTGAGGGTACTGGTGGAGATTAGAGGTGTTTTCTCCTATGGTTTTTATTACTAATTTCTGTTCTATTTTAACTATGTATTGAATAAAATTTATATTTTTTACATAAAAACACTCTTGCAAAGTGTCGTTCAAAGTGCCTAAAAAACCCGCTTTTCCACATTGTCTCCTAACTAAACTATCAGGGGTGTGGCACTCATTACATAACACTGTCCCCTTTGCCCTACGATTTACTCTGGTAAATGAAATCAGCACAAAATAAAGTACAATTTTCTTTCCGTCAACTATATAGGGGAGCAGAGTTGGCCTTTCCCATTCATCTGTATGGAACTTGTAGTCAGGCCTGCACAGTGAAGAAAAGAGGCCAGGAGGAAAATTGAATGTGTACAGGGGACCTTTGAGATCTTATTTTTCATATAAAAGTGAAAGTCAAGTCAGAAAATAAAAAATTGCTAGTAGGAAGGAATTTTTGGCAGAAGAGACATGCAAAGCATCTTCTATCAAAAAAAAACCTTCTCTCTTTCCCCTGTGATTTATTCTGTGTTCACTGTATGGCATTTGCACTTTGCAGTGTGCACTCTAAGCCCATTCATGGCCGTCAATGGGCCCGATGCCGGGGAGGATGCATCTCGAGTGCATGCATAGGAGGATCATCAGTGGCCACCCAATTGCCAAAGAAGATGCCGCCTGGGAGTCTGGAAATGCTGGTGGTAGAGATCATGGTAACAGGGGACCAAAGTTGCATTGCATAGCACCGGAGAAGGGCACCCTTGTAAGGTAAGGGAGCCATAATGTGAAACTACAAACTATTTGCACTTGTTTTTTGTTCTGTAGACATCACAAACACCCTTTCCCTATACCATAGGGCTGCTTAGGAACAGCAATGCTGCAGGAAGGGCATGCAAGTATATATAAGGCCTATTCCCACTTGTGCATATTGTACAGTAGAGCCCAATGCGCTGCAGCGCATCACAACACACATTCCCTGTGTTATGATGTACTGTGTTTTTTGTTATTCATTGCGGGATGTTGGCATTCCATTTATAATGGGCTACCTGAACGAAACACATGTTAATGCATAACATCATTTATATTTACTACAGGTATTTATATAGAGCCGATAATTTACACAGCGTTCACATAGTGGGCATTCACATCAGTCCCTGCCCTTAAGTAGCTTACAATCGAAGGTCCCTATCTCACATGTATGCATACATAGGAGGACCAATTTAGACAGGAGCCAATTAACCTTCCATAATTTCTTTGGAGTGTGAGAGGAAACCGGATTACCCGGAGGAAACTCATGTAAGCACAGGAGGAACATGCAAACTCCTTGCAGATAGTGTCCTGACCGGGATTTGACTCGGGGATCCCCAGCGCTGTTGTGCTTGGTTTGAATGAGACCCAAGTAATTTATTTAAATCCCACTTGTAACTCTAGATATGTATTTTGCCAAAAAGTAAGGTTATCCTTTAAGGCAACTATGCGCTGGCTGTGTCCAATTACTTTCCTTTGTGTTGTACTGCCATCTAGTGGAATACATGAATATTTCATGTGAACACCACTGGCCATAAGGAAACCAATGCAACCTTTTAGATTACAGGCCCAATGAGAAAGCTGCATGCGTTTCAATTTTCTTGTTCCAATGCCGTATAGTGAAATAAATAATAATACTTTTTTAATCCACAAAATGAAGGGAATAATGTATATACACCTGACTGAGATCACAATGTATGCTGTAACCCAGGACGGGACAAATCCCAGGAACCAGGTAGCCAATGCTCCTTAATAATTAGAGGCGGCATTTCATTTTTGAGGTTTTCTCTAATTGTGGTCAATGGAGAAGGCTCCTACAAAATCCTGCAGGCTCCTGGACTGGACATACTGTGTCCTGAATTCCATACTAATTTGTCCACCCCTGCGGTAACCAAAAGTGACGTCAATGAAATTTGTATCTCAAGAGTTGACTCATTTAGGGCCCGGGTCGACGGACTTTGGTTCTGTGTCAATGGTATCAGTTTGACAACATTTTGAAATAATTCTGAGATCATTTAGATTTAATTATCAGGTGAAATTGACCTGCATCAAGTGGGTCTTGTATTGCCATAGACTTGGATGGGAACACAAAACCCATCTGATGCAAACAAAAGCCCTTGGACACAGGGCCAACAACACAGTGGGTGGGTCTGCCTTGGCTGGCCCAAAGAATGACAGCCAGCCTCAAGACCCCACTTACCTGTTGGCAGACACAGCCAGCTGATATAGCCATAGCACAGCAGGACCTGGACAATACGTGCAGTGGAAATGCCTTCCTGCCTCCAGGACATCTGTACTCATTATAAGCAGTGACAGAGCTCACATAATACTGGAACTGGACAGAGCATAACATCTGACAAACCTCTCTGATCCTGTGGTTGCCGCCTTGCTCAGCCGCCTCTTTTCTCGCGCACTGGTTTCTGGGGCGAAATCAGTCTGCCGCCCCGGGTTGGAAAACTGCAACGACTTCAAGGTTTTGGCTGATCGCCCCTAAAAAAATAAAAAAAAAACACAGGCGGAGGTTGTACAGATTATACTATTACTATTGGTTCAGACACTGAAAGCAAATTAAGCAGACCGGACAGTAGTCAGGATTTAGTTCCACCACGTACAGCTGTTGGCTCATCAAGGGCACACAGATGACTGGACTGAATTTGCAAGGCATCATTTTGGGCCCTGTACACATTCACGAATAAAGCAAATCGCATTCGTCTCACGCATTGCTCTGTGATTCTCATGTGATCAGATGCCAGCCGTACAATACAACCACCCGCAGCCGTTCACACGTAATCGCATATGCTGCAATATGGCTGCAGGTACTGGCAGCTGCCATTGTATTGTACAGACGGCAGCTGATCGTAGAAGACTCATGGAGCAACTTGTGAGACTCATGCGATTGGTCCCGTTCACAAATGTGAATGGGGTAAATAGGCAGCACACTACCTGTGTGAATGACACGGACACGAATACTGCAGAGCTCATGTCATAGTGTGTAACACGTGTGTTTTAACAATACACAATTCATTAGGCTTCACAGAAGCAGAAGGATCTTAATTTGCGGCCATGTGACCAAACATTTCCAATGAGGAAACACCTGTTCCTGCCTTCCGTCTGCTCATCACCTTCACCAACTTCCTGGATTCCCAGTGTGCTTTTCGTCTCTTTCCAAGCTGCCTAATGTGATGCAATCTCTATTTGTCAAGACTGCATATCTCATCGTGCATTGCGTCCAGCAAGCAATGATAATGTTACATTGTTCAGGTATTGAGTTGTAGTTCACAAGGCAGGCTCTGTGAGAGTGGTGACACAAGGAAGCGCATATTCAGAGGGCTGAGTGGAATTGTGTCAGTGCATTGAGGAAGTCCATCCTATGGGCATCTTCAATAAGAACGTTTACACACTTCTAGATGGATATGGTTAGTAGGAGTGGGATAGAACTTATGGAAATTCAATACAGAAACATTTATTTTTAGTTTCTGACCAGAGATACTAGGGATGCAACGATACCGATACTAGTATCTGTGCCGATACCGAGGATTTGGGTGAGTACTCGTGCTCGCCCAAATGCTCCAATACATTCCCCGATACCGGAACTTACAGTTAGTGCTGCGAGGGAACATTGTGCCAGCTTTCGGGCTAATCAGGAAGCTAGGCGGCAAGTAATGACTCACCACCCGGCTTCCCGATTAGCCCAAAAGCTGGCTCCATGCTGGTCGGCCAGGAAGCCGGCTTCCCAGCCAATCAGCATGCAGCCATCTGCCCAGGCAAACAAGAAGCCGGGTGGCGGGTAATGACACGCCAGCTTGATTCCCGATTGCCAGGGAAGCCGGCTCCACGCTAGCAAAAAGTACCGGTATCGGCGAGCATCAAAAAAGATAAATATCGGCACTTGTACTAGATACCGAAAAAACAGTGTTCTATGGAGATGTCCAACTCACGTCAGTGCGCCTGCGCGGCCACCTAAGAGCAGTATCACTTTCTCTAATTCGTGTTAGTGCGGCTGCGCGGGCATCCGATGGCACAGGCAGCGATGCCAGTTGGAGAACCCAATGAGGATTGCGAGGTCGCACTGGCACACTTAGGGCAATTGGGCAAGTCGACGAGGCTTGGAAAAATGCTAAGGCTGGCGCACGCGCACTAGCGCCATCTCGTCGAAATCTCACAACAAATGTGGTGTTACGAGTTGGAGATCTCGACGAGTTGGCCATTTCGACAGAACACCGGCATTGATGCATCCCTAATAAGATTCCCATTAACTCCCCTGTGCATATGCCGGAATAAGTCATCCCAGACTCGGCCAATCAAGTCAGCTGAACAAAACAAAAAAGATGACCGGGAGAAGATGGAAGAGTCAGCGAGGGGGAACAAGGGGGTCACGTCACGTGGTCAGTGTGCCAGAATGTGCAATTATGATACGCGTTCATTATGGTAAAAGCTCCTTCACTTCTATTTTAAAGGCACAGTCCACCTTTAAGACCATGTTTCACATCACACAGATATTTAGGTGTTACATAAAGTATTGTCACATTCCCAACTCCCCCCGAATTACTGGGTGCTTCTCCTTGCAGAATAGCAACATCATCTATTAACAGGGATCTGTGAATGGGAAGACCTGCAACCGCTGCAGAGGGATTCAACAGTGGGCAGTAGGGTGGTGATGTCATCACACTTGTAGTCCATTGTTTACTTCCTCCAGCCCAATAACAAAAGGTCTGTACTTCCACTTACACCTGGGGGCCTGTGCAAGGCATTGTTTACAGCCCCAGGTCTATACGGAGGTACGGCCCTTCGGTTATGGGGTTGGAGGAAGTAAACATTGGACTACAAGTGCGATGATCTGCAGGCACAATGCTCTGCAGGCTTCAGAGCAATCATTTTATAAAGTCACATTTTTTTCCAATTTATTATGTTGTTGCATGTATTATATTTTTGCATAAGGTGGACTCTGCCTTTAAATAGCTAATGCAAACCTAAAGGAGCAATCCTAGAACTTTTATAGAGGCAAAACACAGATGACAAACACTGCCCGCAGGCTCCTTACCCAGGGGAACCACAAGTTCCAGCATTTCCAGACTAAAAGAGGTTTGAGCCGCAGTAGCCAGTCAGCCACACACGTCACTATGTGATTGTACAATATCCTCAATGGTGCAATGTGACAAATAGCTTTACCATCCTATCAGGAAATCCCTCACACCACCCAGCTGGTGGTAAACAGGAAGCGGACCGTACAATCACATGGTAACGTGTTGCCAGCATTGAATTACTCTGTTATACCCAGCAGAGGCTTTCCTCTGGTTTGCGCAGAAGTCATGTAACAATTCCCCTGCAACAAACAGCCTCCTGGTCGCCACACACAGCTCTGCACCATTAAAGGAATTCGGCTGCCTCCCCCGGTGTTTTTGCCCAGGCGGCGCCCCGTACCCCGCTCACTTACTTTCGCCTGTGGCTTCCTGCTCGGCATCCCCGTGTTACCTCCAGCACCGTCTCGCGACGCCGCCATCCACAGGCACGCCGCCCCCTATGACGCATTCTCGCGCACACCATAGAGACGAGGGAGCACAGGAGGAGAGATAGGCGAGGGGGTTTGTGATACTGCCCCTGTCTATGGTGCTGGATGACGTTTCCATGGTGATTTTTTCCATGGTGACACCTGGCCAGCTAGTGTACTGCTCATTTGTATGTATCATGCATCTCATTATAATATGTATCTTATTAAAACGTAGCATGTATTTTATCATAATGTGATAACTTATAACATGTATCTTATAATATAACACATATCATCATAATATAGCATATTTGTTATAACATGCATCATATTATAATGTAACATGCATCATATTATTATATACCATGTATCTTATAATGTAACATGCATCATACTATAATATGACTTGTATCTTATCATAATATAACATGCATAATAACATAATTTAACATGGATCGTATTATTACATGCATGGTATTATAATATCACATGGATCATATTATAATATAACATGTATCCTATTACAATATGCAACTTATTATAATATAACATGCATCTTATTATAATATAACATGTCTCTCATAATATAACACATTTCTTTCCACCGCTCCAAGCTTGCTCCTGTGATGGACTACAACCTCAATACAAACTAGTAGTCCCTTCACTGGAGCCATTTTTTTAAATGTATTTTATTGTTTATCCGATTAACCGATTAATCGAACTTAATAATCGGCTAACTAATCGATTTTTAAAATAATCGTTAGCTGCAGCTCTATTTCTTATCATAAACACTAAAACGTCCTTATTAAAAGGAATCCGACTCATCATTGTAAAGTATTAAAGGAGAACTTTTTAGATAGAGTAAGGGAGGGTTATAACCCGTCAGCTTTTTTTCCCCATCTGTATTCCTATTCGGGGGATTTATCTTCACTTCCTGTCCAATAGGCACAACAGGAAGTGAGAGGAAATCCCTGCAAATAGAGCTAAATCCCTGGTGGTCACCAAAACTAGTGTCCCTAGTGGAAGCTTTTCTATCTATTCCTGTTCTGGAGACAACCCAAAATGTGGGATTTTCTCTCACTTGCAGTGATAACGGTCACGAGGACAAATATCACACTGTTTACCATTTTTTCTTTGTTAGAACTTTATTGAAATGTCATGAGTGGCATTTCATGAAGTTTACTGTCACAGAATGATGTGATGCAGTTGTACCACGTCACACCCTGCTGTGCTGAAAAAAAGGAGTGCATGAGGTGCATTTTCCAGCACACACCACCGCAACACGCTGGTATGAACTGGTGGTGGTGAAATGAACTGGTGTTGGTGAATGTGGTGGGGAAATGAACTGGTAGTGGTGAATGTGGTGGTATGAACTGGTGGTGGTGAAATGAACTGGTGGTGGTGAAATGAACTGGTGGTGGTGAATGTGGTGGTATGAACTGGTGGTGGTGAACGTGGTGGTACGAACTGGTGGTGGTATGAACTGGGTGGTGGTATGAACTGGTGGTGTAGGGTTGCCACCTGTACGGGATTCACCTGGACAGTCCGGGTTTTGAATGCTGTGTCCGGGTTTCATGGCAGCTGAGACCCGGACATATGATGTCAGGCAGACAGGGCAACCAAAATTAAGATAGGGGCTACTGGCCCCCCACTGAAAATAGTCTTGACTGTGATATTTACATAGGAATGGGCGGCGCTATTTACATATGAACAAGCTGCAACTCATTCTCCCCAAAAAACCTCTATGCGTCGCTAGAGTGGTCGGGTTTCGTTGAAAGCAAAGGTGGCAACCCTATGGTGGTGGTGAATGTGGTGGTATGAACTGGTGGTGCTGAACATGGTGGTATGAACTGGTGGTGGTGAACGTGGTGGTATGAACTGGTGGTATGAATTGGTGGTGGTGAAATGAATTGGTGGTGGTGAAATGAATTGGTGGTGGTGAATGTGGTGGTATGAATTGGTGGTGGTAAATGTGGTGGTATGAATTGGTGGTGGTATGAACTGGTGGTGGTTAATGTGCTGGAATGAACTGGTAGTGGTGAACGTGGTGGTATGAACTGGTGGTGGTATGAACTGGTGGTGGTGAATGTGGTGGTATGAATTGGTGGTGGTGAATGTGGTGGTATGAATTGGTGGTGGTATGAACTGGTTGTGGTGAATGTGGTGGTATGAATTGGTGGTGGTATAAACTGGTGGTGGTGAACATGGTGGTAGGAGCTGAGCCCATTCAAATGTCAAATGTCCAGCTCAGCCCCCAATGGTGTGAATCCAGCCACAGGGTTTATTCACCTGGGCGTTCCTGACCATACACTGTGTTCGGGATGGGTACAGTCAGGCGTTTATGTTCAGCTATAGACAGAACATAAAATGACAGGTTGGCACTGCCCACAGCACTTTGAGTGATTGCATGTGGCTAGGGACAGATGAGCGGCCCTGTATGCAGACTGTTTGTGTCCAGGGTCGCCTATTGGTCCCTGATCGTAGCTATTCGCTCTATGTGCAAATACACGTGGACAGCTATGGAACCTCTCAGCCTGTCATCGAGTGGCCGCAGCTGAATGCAAATACCTGGCCATTCCTGGCCCAAGAATATGCCGGGCACTGTACAGTCATGTGAGTGAGCCCTAATACACGCTCCTTATTTTATTCTTGTCCTCAGGGGTGTAACTAGAAATCACGGAGCCCCGTAGCAAAATTTTGTATGGGGCCTTGTGATTTCTAGTTACGCCCCTTGCAGAGCCCATCTGCGATCCCACACAGCCCACCTGAGAGTGACCCTCTAGAGCCCACAATAGACTCTCTATAGTGGGCTCTGCATGGTCTCCGGTGGGCTGGTCATACCCCTGCACACCTATTACCTGTCAGCCTCCTCCACCGCCAGGCCCCGTCTCCTCCACGGTTGTTGGCAGGCCCCGCCTTTTCCTCCGTCGCCAGGCCCCGCCTCCTCCTCCGCTGCCAACCCTGGGTCCAGCCTCTTCCTCCACTGCCGACACCCGACCCAGCCTACCCCTCCACAGCTGCTTGCTGTCACTGACTCAGCAGCGGCTGTGAGGAGGAACGCGCTGCTGCACAGATCACTGACAGGTTGTCGGTGATCTAACAGAGACATGTTCCTCCTCACAACTGCCAGCAGCCTACAATTACATAGCGACCCAGGCGGCCCGCATGACATCAGGGGGACCCCTTTGTTCCTCTTTCTGGCCTCCCTGTGCCCCCGGACACCATAGCGGCCGCCTGGGTCGCTATGGCGATAGTTCCGTCACTGGTTGTCCTACCTATTTTATAGCCATTATTTGACATGGCCATTCGGACTCTCCGGTGGGGTTTTAATTTTTTACATTATCATGAAAACGATATACATTAAATGACCACGAGCATACCGGGGATAGATAAGCCCGGCGTGGTTTCTGCTCGCTGTCGCATTTGTGCTTACAACCGGCACAATCCAGATGGTCACTACAAGGATACCGGGAGCAGATGAGTTCCATAAACATCGCAGCTACTGAATTCAAAGACAGATATGAAAAGGATTTATGGTGACCATGGAGACCAACTTTACAAAGCTAAAAATAGATAAGTAAGACTTTAATCCTTACTGGCCACGTTAGAATGGTCTTCTTTACGCTGATTTATTTAGTGGCCTTATAGGACTCGTGTTCAAAATGGAATGGAGCCAATTTACCGCACCTTTCCTGTCAAACTGGGATGCGCCAAACATCAGGATTACTCGAAAGGTTTCACGGCATGATTAGGATTTTCTTGAATATAGGCAAATGCAAAGAATGAATCCTGAGGGTGCTGTTGTTTGTTACATTAATTCAAGTAGCTAGAACGGTAGATGAAGTGTCTCCATTTTAGGTTAAGGCTTAATTGGAACTTCACCTTTGCATTACATTAGAAAATTAAAACATAGATGCTTCCCATGGGCTCAAATAGTTCATGTTAGAGCGGTGCGTGCCTTTAGCTCCTTGCAATAAAAATCACACCACTGTGCACAGCGGTGGCTGCTGCCGTGCATGCATCATGACATCCATGGTGTGACGTCATCACGCATGCACAGTGATGTACTTCACCTTGGCGATGGATGCCAGCAAAGAGAGGAGGGGATATTCCAGGTCTATTTTGGCCCCAACAGACTTCAATTGGAGCATCTGAAAAACGTGCAAAAATGTGCATAACATGTGTTTTTCATGCATTCTCTTGCCTAGTAACAGTCTTTTTATTGGCTAAAAATAATAATTAAAAAAAGGCTCAAACCTGAAACACGTGTACAAATGCTGAAGGGGTAAAAGCCTGGAAAAAAGACCAAAACCATGAATGGGGCCTAACGCTACACTTCAAGTCCCAATATACCACACAGTAACGCTTCCACTATGTCATCTTATTGAAGCCTTAAAGGAGAACTATGAGGTGAGTGATTTTCACTCAACCTCATAGTTCGAGCCGATGTGTGACAATGAAACTGTCACACGTCGGCTCAATAGATCTGGAAGTGAGCAAACACATACCGTCGCTCGCTCACTTCTCGATCCTGTGCCTACAGAGAGCCGTGACTGTCACTCACGGTTCCCTGCAGGGATTCCCCCCCCTCCCCTGTCCGATCCTCCAGTGCTGACTGGCGGAACGGACTGTCAAGCACGCAGCTGCGGCGGTCTCAGTAGACCGCAAGCTGTAGCTCGCAGTATACTGAGCTTTGGGTCATGGGAAGACGCTAGTTTATGTCCTCCCGTGACACTGAGAACTATGGGGAAAAACACTTACCCCATAGTTTTCCTTTAATCTACCTTTCCACATGTGATTATAACACCAATTATACTCCTAGCCCCAATTCGAACTTTAGAACATCCAAAAAGTTTGAATTTGAACTTGAACTCAATGCACGTCTATGGGGGTAGAACTTTCAAAAACAATTGTGCCCTGTAAGAAGGCTTATATGCAAGTTATTGGCCATAAAAAAAGTGTATGGGGATTCCGGTACTGCTCCCCTTAAACCGCCTGTAAAGTGGCAAATCTGTACAATGTATAGGACCTGCTGCAGCAA